GCCGCATGGGCAGGGGATAGCCACATATGACCTGTGTCTGCACGTGTGTCTTGGGACGGCCCGACGCAGCTGTGGAGACCGTGTGTGGCGTCGTTGGGACGGCAGCGGGGCCCCGGGCAGCGGGTCCATGGCCAGCTTCCCTCGGTGGCGGTGTCTGCGGCAGGGCCAGGGCGAGGCACACGGGGGCGCTCCTGGGCCTCCTCGCAGCGCCCAGCCTGGAGCCCGCACCCACCTTGGCCCTCCTCCGGCTGCTCCCCGCAAACGGCCGACAGCTGCGCACAGCCTGTGCGGTGGCCCTCGGGGCCTGCCGCCCTTCCTCAGGGTCCAGGTCCTTTTTGTCCCATGTGCCGCCTGGGCTTTGCCACCTTCAGGACTGTGGGCATCGCTGAGGGGACAGCTCAGGTGGGGCCAACTTTCAGAAATGCCTTGATGGATGGGCAGCGTCCAGAGGGCCGGCTGGGACTGAACAGGGTTTGGAGGCCACTCCCCAGGCCTTCACCTGGGCCCAGTCTCCGGGTGGAGCCCTGGCAGGGCCCCCAGGAGCAGCGCTGTCCTGCGCGGCCACCCTCGGGAGACAGCGTCCTGCCGACGCGGCTCTTGTCCCGGCTCCAGCAGCGGGCCCCGCCGCCCGGCCAGGCCCGGCTCTGCGCACGGCGTGGTGCGCCTCGGGCCCTCTTGTGTGGGTGCCCCGCCCGCTGCAGCAGGCCTCGCTCGAGGGTGGGCCCGCTGCTCTGTCTCCACTCCTGAGGCTGTTCTTCCAAGGGTGCAGCTCAGCCGTCGTTGGGGCGAGGCCCCCCTGACCCAAGGACCCTCCCCAAGGGAGCCCCTGCTCCCTGGGCCGGTCCTGTGTGCTTGGGGCCCCAATGGCTGATGATGGGCCATCCGAGACCTGAGCAGCTGGCCAGGGAGAATGGTTTACTGGGCAGAAACCCTGTTGGCTTCTGAAAAGGCTGTGCCAGGACACGGCCTCAGAGCTGCCCGCGGCTGTGCAGGTCGGGCGGTGGGGAGACGCTGAGTGGGCCGGGGAGCTGCTGGTGGAAAGCACCCCAGGCAGTGATCAGCAGGCTGAAGTGGGCTGGGCGGGGGTAGAAAACCGGGCCTGGCAGAGGGCCTTGGCCCCAGGGCTCCCCCCTGGGTCCGCACCCTTAAGCCGGCCACGCCGCATGCTCCTGACAGACCAGGGGCCTGTGCCGGCCCTGCGGCTCCTCGCGCCCTTGGGGAGCGGCCTGGAGCCCTGTCGGGAGCGGGCCTTGCTTTCTGGGGTCCCCGACAGGCAGGTTGGTTTCTCTGCCCACAGGTTCCACGTGGTCCTGCATCCATGGGCGTGTGGGGAGCTGGGGAGGAGAGCTGGGCTGCTGGGGACAGTCACCCGCTCCCTCTGCCTGCCTCGGGCTCGGGCGTGTGGGGCTTGTTTGGGAGCAGCCCTCTCTCTCCTGGTCAGTGGCTTCAGGGGGCTGTTGGCACAGATTCGCAGTCTGGTTTCATCTTCTCCTTCCTCGTTACACAGTTGTGAAATTAGTAACTCACTTTCTTCCTAGTTATTTCCCTTTGAAGTTCCATAAAAACCTGAACTCCCTCTCAACCCCCGCTCCACAGTAAAACAGAGCGAGAGCCGTGACCTCCGTCTGGTGGGCTCTGCCTCTGGCGGCTTGTGGGGGAGGCGGGGCTGGGGCGAGCCGGCCGGGAGCGGTGCAGGCAGCGCTGGGACAGGACGGGGCGCAGACCCCCAGGGGCTGGCGAGCCCCCTCCCTCCTTGCTGGGGCGTGGGGTGGGGGCAGTGCGCGCTGGGGACCGGTCCGGCTGCCCGGGCTCTGCCACTGGAGTGCCGGTCCCCCAGGCTGCACTGGCGCTCGGCACCTGGGGGGGCTCCCACGGGCCCTCCTAGCGCCCGCCGCACCCTCGGCCCAGAGCGTGGGAACGGGAGAGGCCGCCGGCCGCGGTGTGCGGGAGCAAGGGCCCTGCTGATGGATGGGCTCATAGTCCATTCCGATGTGATGCCAGCAGTTTTCTGTGGTTTGTCTTCCATTGCGGTAGTAAAGTTTTTAATTAGGAAAGCTAATGAGATCGATTAGTCATTAGAAGTGACCTCTGCACAGCAGGGCGGGGCGGGCCGTGTGTGCGGGGCTGATAACACCGCTCCCGGCCTCGCGGGCAATAAAGGCGCGCAGGGTTTGATCTGAGTGAAATGTGCCACAGGGAATACATCATGCAGAGAAAAAAAATTACAACCCTGGGAGTCTGTAATGAAGGGAATTAAACCAACATCCTATCTAAATAACATGATTATCTACACAAGCCCTCAGCCAGCCGGGGCACGGGGAGCGCTGCCTGGCGGCCGCGGTGGAACAGACACAGGAGGCAGCAGCGCCTCGGCTCCGCCGTGCCGCCCCCAGAGCAGGGCCCCGGGGCGGGGCCTTGCCCCTCCTGCCCCGCTCTCTGGGGTCTGTGCGCCCCGCAGGGCCCGAGGAGCCCTGGTGCAGGCCAGGCACTGGGGCCGCAGCCCGCCTGGTGCCCTGCTGGGCTGCTGGCCCGTGGGGTGGGCGGGGCCGGCTCTCCCCGGGGCGGGACCTGGCTGTGCAGCCTGTCGTCAGGGACCGGGCTGGCCCGTGGGGTGGGCTGCGGGGGTCGCAGCCCCAGGGGATGGGGCGGCGGCAGGGGCTGGGTGCCTTCCTGTCTGCCTCTGGGGACCACCAGGGCGGGGGCTTGTCACAGGTGACGGCATGGGGGAAGCGGCAAGAGGCTGGCCTTTGAAAAGGGCGTCTGCTTTGTTTGTGTCCTTTTGGAAGTGATACCTGGGCGCTAACAAGTAAAACGCAGGAGGTCAACGGCGGACGCCTGCCTTGCATGGGACTGCGCTGTGAAGTCGGTGCTGGCCCCGGCCTGGGCCCAGCGGGGCCCCTTCGAGTGCAGAGTCTGGCCTGGCGGGCGTGGGGCGGGGCTTCCTGCATGAGGGGCGCTGTCCGACTGCGTTGGAGGCCGGGAGAGGCCCGCGGGGGCCCCCGCGACCCATCGGGACAAAGGCAGCGAGGTTGTTGACAGGGGCTCCGTCCCGGCAAGGACCAGCCCCCCCACGCTCTGCGGAGGTGGCCCTGCAGGGACAGCAGGGGCCGGGGCTGCAGAACAGGGGCCCTGCGACTCCAGGATGCGCGTCCTGTCCAGCAGCGGCAGGCCCAGGGGGGCCCAGAGGGGAGGGGTGGGGGCGGGCAGGCCCCGGCGAGGGGCCCGGACAGGGGCGGTCCAGGTGCCAGGGCCGTGGGCACTGGGAGCGGGGGGCCGTGCGGTCAGCTTGCCCTGGCGGTGACGTCAAGCCGATCCCGTGTTCTGGAGCTCTTAGTTGGAACGAGCCGTTATTGATTTTTGTTGGTCTCTCCTTGCTTGTAAGACCTTGAAAATTCAATTCAACAAACATTTATTTATTGACGCCCACTGTGTGCTAGGCTGTCCCCTACACTCCAGGCGTGCCGCGGTGCCCGGAGCTAGAGTCACTCACTCTGGTCACTCGCTCAGCAAGAGCCAGCCTCCAGGTGACGCCACAGAGCCTGTGGTTTTGCCAGACTTCCCTCTTCTCCCGACTTCCCCCGCCCCGCTGCTGCCCTTGGTGGGAGGGAGGGACAGACAGACAGAGGCCGAGACAGAGACAGGGTGATGGAGACAGAGAGGAAGGGGAGAGCAGGTGAGAGAGGTCTCTGCCCTCAGTTTCCTGGCATTCCCTGAGCCACGCGGCCTGTGTGGGCGCAGGGGCTCCCGGGGGGTGCCCTCCCTGCCGACGCCCCCAGGGTGCCCTGGGGCCCATGGGCTGGTGGAGCCTGGAGGGGAGGAGCCCGGCTGTGGGCTGGGGCCCCGGGGGGTTATGTTTAGCGACAGCTGCTGTCCCTGCCCATGGTCTGGGGGTGCGGGGGGCGGTGCTCTGGCTCTGGGCCGGGGTGTGCGGGTGCCGGGAGGGTGTCTCCTTGGTGCCCAGGGGAGTCGGTGCAGGTCAGGGAGCGTTGGCCTGCACCTTGAGGCGGGGTGGCCGGCCTTGGCCAGGGCTGGCACCCAGCAGCGGGAGCGTGGGGGCCTCGGCGTCTCGGGCGCTGTGCGCCTGTGCTGCTCCCTCTCCTGGGCCACTCCGGGCCAGGCGACCTTCAGCCAAGGGCCGGCCAGTCCTTGCCCGGGGGCCACAGGCGCACCCTGTTGCTGGTGCTCTGGCCACAGGATCCCCGTGTGTGCTCTCCTGGGGGCCTCGCCCGGCACATGGTCCCCCAGCTTCTGCCTGACCTCCCCCTGCAACTGGCCGCTTGGCTGCCTGCCCAGCAGTGGTGTCTCTGGGCAGAGCCCCGAGGAGCCCCCGGGGCTGGGGTCCTGGGCAGCCCCTCTCCACACAGGGCCCTGGGTGTCATGCAGGCGGGTCGGAGGCCGCGAGCACGAGCCGAGGCGCTGGCCTCAGGGGCGCTGGTCCCGGGCTACGTTAGCTTTAATTATCTGGGCGGTTAGAGCTGTATATTACAGAAGTCAGGCAATTAGACATGTTCCTTGAAGCTATGGAGAAATTGCCAGCTATCAAGTGGAAGGCAACTCAGGCAAAGCTGATCCCCGTTAATTGCATGAAACACTCAGCAAAAAGGAGAGCCGGGAAAAGCCAAGTGGCAGGAGGCCGGAGTGAGGAGCACGGGCATCGGCGTGGGCAGGCGGCAAAGGTGCCGCTCACGCCCCGGCCTCCGGCGCCTGCCCGAGGGGCCCTCCCTGCTGCCCCCGGGGGCGCTGGGGAGCTGGGAGCAGCCTGGAGTTTGGGGATGTCGGCTCTGCTCGCAGAGGGTCCTGGCCCGCTCCCCCCACCGCTGCGTCCCGCCACGTCCCGGAGGCCTCTGTCTTGGGACTCGGGCCGGTGCCGGCTCTCCTGGAGCCCCAGGCTACGGGGCTTTCTGGAACATGCCTGCGCCACGTGGCGCAGGGCTGGAATGGGGGGTGACGGGGCATCTGCCGGCTTCCAGTGACCGCCCCCGCCTGGGTTCTCTCTGCAGCCTCCCACCTGAGCGTCCTGAGGAGCCCTCCCACCGGCAAGGTGATCCAGACCCGATACCGCATCGTCAAGAAGACCCCGGCGGCGCCCCTCAATGTGGCCCCCTTCCCCCTGTCCCTGCCCTCCTGGCGGACTCGGCGGCTCTCCCTGTCCAGGTGCGTGGTCCTGGGGCCCGGCTGGCAGGCCTCTGAGGCCACGGGGATGGGGCGGGAGGGCAGGAGCCCTGAGGCGTGGAACTGTGCTCACCACCTGCCAGTGCCTGGTCTCCAGTGTGCGGGCTCAGGAAGGGCCCCCCTTTTTTTTTTTTTTTTTTTGAAGACTTCATTTGTTTATTTTTAGAGAGAGGGGAAGGCAAGGAGGAAGAGAGAGAGAGAAACATCCATGTGTGGTTGCCTCTCGCACGTCCCCTACTGGGGACCTGGCCTGCAACCCAGGCCTGTGCCCCAGCTGGAAATGGACCCAAGAACCTTGTGGTTCTCAGGCCGGCGCTCCGTCCCGTGGGCCCACCAGCCCGGCTCGGCTCATCGTTCTGCTCGGTGATTTCGGCCCCAGATCGACGGCCGGACTGCGTGCTGCGCAGAACCCCCCGCCCCGCTTCCTGTCCCCTGTTCCCAGCAAACTGTCAGCTGGCCGTGCGTGGCCCGTGGGGTCTGTCAGGGAGAAGCTCACGGTGAGAGAGGCGGGGCCCTGCAGCCCATGTCGCAGGGACACTGATGGCTCGGGAGGGCAGCTGCACATCCCCGCCCGGCCGTCCGGCCGCCTCAGCCCCGGCCGCCGCTGGCTGAGCGGGCGCGGTGTGTCGGGGCGCCACCTTCTCCCCTGGGCGCCGCGGGCGCCAAAGCAGGGGGGCTGCCGGAGTCGGGGCCCCGCCGAACTCCGGGTTCTGCAGGAGCGGCTGCAGCCGCGGGGCTCCGGGGGCCCGGGGTCGGGGGTCGCCCTTCTCGGAGGCGGAAGGGGTGGCGGCCCTGGCAGATGGGTGACCGGCCCCTCCCCCGTCTCCCTCCGCCCTGGGGAGCGGCCTCCTCGGGGAGCGTGGGGCAGGGCAGCCGCGCTGCCAGCCCTCGCAGGCCCTGCCGCCGCCCGGCCTCAGCGAGCCTGGCCCAGCCGCGTGCTTCTCGGGAGGCAAGAGCTGGAAGTATATTTTAAATTAATTTTACTGCACTTTTTGTAATATTTTTGTTTTAAATAGATTTATAAGCATCTTGGGGGCTATTTCTACAAATTTATGAAGATAATTTCCATTCTTTCGATAAGGTTAAATTTACACCTGCTATTTCCATATTAATTCACAGTGCTAAGTGGGTCTAATTCTCTTCCGTTCCTCTATCTGGTGAGCCTGGCCTTTCCTAATGCAATTTCCCCCTCACTAAATCACTGTGATCAGGAGTCAGGATCGAGCTAAATTAACTTAAATTAATTTACTTAATAAGAGCCCCAGATCATCATGAATGAGGTTCAGATTTATTGATTCTTGCTCCTGCCTCCCCACCTGCCGGCCCGGCCCCGCCTCTCCTGGGGCGGCCGAGGCGGGGTGACTTGTTAGGGCGACACCAGTGAGCCCCCCTCCCAGGACCGGGGAGGTTAGGGTTGGGGTCCGGCCGGCCTGACAGGGTCACGGGGTGAAGTGGGCGCCAGGCCCCGTGGGACGAGCGTTCCTGCGCCGGCAGCTGCGCCCCGAGCCCGTGCGGCGGGGGCGGCCGGGGCGAGAGGAGGGGCGGGGCCGAGCGGGGCCTGCGGGCCTGTGGGTCCTCCTCGGGTTGGGGGGGCGCCGCTGGGGGAGGCCAGCTGCCGGCCGGGCATGGCCCCCAGCCCCCCGGCTCCCGCCCCAGCCGCCCGCTGTCTGGGCACCCGGGCTCTGCGCAGCCCCCTGGGTGGTGGTGGGCGCCGGAGGGCTCCGCTCCCGCAGGCCTGGCTGGACCCAGCCAGCAGCACCTGCCGTGCTGGAGGACGCCTGGCCGACCCCAGCTCGGGGCGGCCCCGCGTCAACCCCGGGAGTCTCTGGGGGTTATTAAGTGGGGCCCTGGGACACAGCCTGAGCGCTGGGCCCTGGAACCCTGGGCCTGGGCCTGCAGGGCGGCACCACGGTAGGTGAGGCGGGGCGCCGAGGGCTGGGTGGTTGCCAAGGGGCCGGGCTTCCTCTGCCGAGGCCGCCTGTGTCCGGGCCAGGCTGCCTTCTCAGCAGAGCGGCTGCCCGCCAGCTGCCTGGCCCGCAGTAGGCGTGCGCGCTGGCGCTCGGCTGCCGAGGCAGCAGAAAGGGCCCGTCTCCGGGCTGGTGGCCAGTCCGATGCCTGCCCGCCTGCTGCCTCAGCTTCACCAGAGGGAGGCTCTGGGGCCCACCGGCTTTGGCCGAGTCCTTGACCGCTGCCCCATGCAGCGGCGGGTCCCTTGGCGCTCCCCAGGCAGGAGGAGTGGCCGGGCTGCTGGTGGGGGTCAGGCCCGTGTGCGCCGGGGGCTGCCGTCATGGGGGGACGTGGGGCTGTCCCACCGGGCAGTCGGCCTGAGCCTGGGGACTGAGGGCTCTTCCTGGGCCTCCTGACCTGTACCCCCGGAGGCAGGCCCCCGGGCAGGCCGGCGGGCCGGCGGGCCGAGGGCAGCCTGGTGGCGTGGGTGCCCCTGGACCCCGTGCTCCCGCAGGGGCGCCCTGAGTGCGGTCACTGCGGGGCACGGTGGGTGCGGGGGCCGCCGTCCCGGAGGGCCGGGAGCCCTGGGCCAGCGGGGGGCCCTGGGGGTTGGGGCGGGGGTCACACCCGGCAGCCCGTGGCTTGGCGAGCCCCTGCCCCCCTGCCCCCCTCACGGGGCTGGGTCCCCACACTCAATCCTGCACCACGTGCTGGAAAGGCTGTGGAGGTGACAGAGCCACTGCACCCCGTCTCTGGAGGGCTCGCCCCGCGTCGGGGCCCCTCGCCTGCCCCGCCGGAGACGCCTGCCTCTTCCGCGTGCTCTGGGCTGCTGCCCTGACGGCGCTGGTCCCCACCGGTCCTGGGCGGGGCCGGTGCCTTCCTGCCTCCCCGGCGGCTTCGCTCGTCTGCCGACACAGGGTCCTGCCCTCCGCCCTGTGTCGGTTTGGTCCAGCACGTGGGAAGCTACGTGACCGCCCACGTGCTGGGTCCCCGGCCCGGCGGGGCCTGCGGTCTCCGGGCCTCCCTGCCCGGAGCGGGCCTGGGGCGCGGGCCTTTCGGGCCAGGCCCCGGGGCAGCAGAGGGCGCCCCAGGCTGCTGCGCCCGAGGGAGGGTGTGTTGGGTGCGTGGTGCTGTTGCGAGGTGCGTGGATCGGCCTGTGTTCCCGTCGGCTTCCCACCAGCTCATTAATCTGCACAGAGGCTGAAGTGTGACTTATATCCCTAAACTGCCTGTCACTTTTTTTTTCTTTCCAAATTCATTTGACGTGAAAGTGTGAAGTAAACAAGCCCTGCGCTTAAGCAGCTGCGTCTGGAGGCTGCTCCTTGGGCTACAAATGGCCCTGTCAGGAGGCTGCCGCTCGCTGGGCCTCCGCACTCCATCTCGTTTTATTTTCGTGTCTGCGCGGTAAATCTTAAGTAATCTCCGGGTGGTTTGACGAGGTTTGGGCTGCGGTGTGAAGGCTCTGAAATGCTTTTCTCAAGTGACGTCTCATTAAAGAGGCACTCGGCCCGGGGACAGGCAGAGCCCCGCCGGGTGGCCGGGCCCCTGCAGGCTGCTTCCCGCCCCTGCCGCCCAGGCCTGCCCACGCAGCCTCCCGGGCGGCCAGCGACTCCCTGCTCTGCCTGCTGCCCACCGCTGGGCCACGGAGCACGGGCAGCGGGCGCCGCCACAATGCGCCAGCCGGCGCGGTCAACGGCAGGCTCCTTTCTCCCCGCTCCGGAGGCCTGCGGCCGGAGTGCCTGGTCTGTTTCTCTTCTGGCGGCGTCCGCTCCTGCGAGGACCGTCATCTTTCATGGGGCCGCACCTTCGCCGCCGCCTCTAACCCTAGTCCCCTCCCAGAGGCTCCCCACCCCCACACTGGATCCATTCAGTCCACAGCAGCACGGTCCCTCTTGTCCCCAGACCTGCCCCGACCCAGCCACTGGGGCTGGGGCCCCGCCGCCTGCGGGCCTGCCCTCGGGGCGAGCCCTCGCAGGGCCTGGCCGCGTGCCCTGCGGCCCGGCAGGCTGGCCTGCGGCTTGGGGGAGGCAGCCAGGCACAGAGGCTCCCCTAGCAGAGGAAGCGCGCAGGCCCCGGGGAGGAGGGAGGCCCGGGCAGGAGGCCAAGCAGGGTCCGGCGCAGCGGCTTGCCCGGCCGCAGGCTGCCAGGAGCCGGAGCCCGCTGTGGAGCCCACACTCGGCCGCGCCGGCCATCCGCGGAGTGACCCTGGCCCAGGCCCTGCTCTGCGGCCGCCCCCCTCTGCTTTGTGTCCCCGTGTCAGGGTCAGCGCCCCACCGCTGCCGATGGCCCCCAGGCCTCAGGAAGAGCGTCCCAGGCTGGGAGAGGGGGCTGCTGTCGGGGAGGGGGGGAGGGGGTCAGGGCAGCCTGGGGCCAGGCTGCAGGCAGAGGGTGGAGGGCGACTCCCAGGCGCGGTCCCGTCCCCGCCCTCCTGGTGCCTCGCGGGTACCTCTGCGAGTGCCTTCGTGTGGGTGCACGTCTGCGCCTCAGGGGCGTGGCAGAAGCGGCACGCGGGGGCCCTGCAGCCTTCCCCGGGGCCACGGCGGGGGGGGTGGTCCCCCTTCACCAGGCCCCCTGCTCAGGCACCACTGGCTTCCTCCTGGTACAGGTGTGAGCCCTGACCCGGGAGCGCTGCCCCTTGCCCCCCCGCCCCCCGCTTTGTGTTTGCTGTTTGTTTATGATGCTGTGGACTCCAAGGAGCCCCCCTCCTGTCTCCTGCCTCGCCCGCTGCTCTGTCCCCGACCCAGAGCTGGGCGCCTCTCCGCAGAGCGTGGCCCCCAGCGTCAGCACCCCACGGGCCCGGGGCCCGGGCGGCCTCGGCGGGCGGTGGGTGCGGGCCTCCAGCTGCGCGAGCCCGTGTTTCCTCCTCTGCAGTTGCACCTGGGAGCGGGAGGGGGACTCGGATCGGGCAGTGCGACTTCCGTGGGGCCGCTGCCCCCACAGCCGCGGTGCCCTTGCTGTTCCCATCGCAGCCTTTGGTGGTGCCGTCTCTTTAATTTCACGTTCTCCACGTGAGGTGGCGGCTCATCGAGGCTTTA